AAAAAAAAAAAAGATGTATTCATCATTATTGGTGATTGGAATGCAAAAGTTGGGAACAAAGAAGAATCACCGGTAGTTGGAAAATAAGGCCTTGGTGATAGAAATGAAGCCAGATACTGAATGATGGAATTTTGCAAGACCAGCGACTTACTCATTGGAAATACATTTTATCAGCAACTATACACGTGGAACTCTGGTGACACAGTGCCTACGGTATTGACTGCTAACTAGTAGGTTGGCAGTTCAACCCACCAGCTGTTCCACAGAAAAGAAAGACAGGGTAATCTACTTCTGTAAAGATTTACCATCTCAGAAACCCAATGGGGGTCGCTATGAGTTGGAATCAACTCGTTGGCTGTGGGTTTGTTATTTTTGGTTTATACACATGGATCTTGCCAGATGGAATACACAAGAATCAAATGGACTACATCTGTGGAAAGAAGCAATAGAGAAGCTCAGTATCTTCAGCCAAAACAAGACCAGGAGCTGACTGTGGAACAGACCATCAATTGCTTATATGCAAGTTCAAGTTGAAGCTAAAGACAAATCCACAAGAACCAAAATATGATCTTGATTATATCTCACCTGAATTTAAGACCATCTGGATAATAGATTTTATGCATTGAATTCCAGTGACCGAAAACCAGATGAATTGTGGGATGACATCAAGAACATCATACGTGAAGAAAGCAAAAAGTCATTAAAAAGACAGGAAAAGAAGAGGAGACCAAAATGGATGTCAGAAGAGATTCTGAAACTTAGTCTTGAACAAACAGTAGTTAAAGCAAATGGAAGAAATGACAAGATAAAAGAACTGAATAGATGATTTCAAAGAGCAGCCCAAGAAGACAGAGTCAGCTATTACAATGAAATGTGCAAAGACCTAGAGTTAGAAAAACAAAAGGGAAGAACACATTCAGCATTTCTTAAACTGAAAGAACTGAAGAAAAAAAGTCAAGCCTCAAGTTGCAATATTGAAAGATCCTTTGAGCAAAATATTGAATGGTGCAGGAAACATCAAAAGAAGATGGAAAGAATACACAGAGTCACTGTACTAGAAAGAATTGGTCGATATACCTCTATTTCAGGAGGTGGCATATGATCAAGAACCAATGGTATTGAAGGAGGAACTTGAAGCTGCACTGAAGAAATTGGCACTGAAGGAACAAGGCTCAAGGAATGGACAATACCCATTGAGATGTTTCAGTAAATGGATGTCATGCCGGAGGCACTTACTCGTCTGTGCCTAGAAATTTGGAGGACAGCTCTCTGGCTACCTGACTGGAAGAGATCCATATCTGTATCCATTCCAAGGAAAGGTGATCCAACAGAATGTGGGCATTATCGAACAATATCATTAATATCACACGCAAGTAAAATCTAGATGAAGATAATTCAAAAGCTACTGAAGCAGTGTATTGACAGGAAACTTCAAGATATGCAAGCTGGATTCAAAAGAGGACGTGGGACAAGGGATATCATTGCTGATATCAGATGGATCTTGGCTGAAAGCAAAGAATACTTGAAAGATTTTTCCTTATGTTTCATTAACTATGCAAAAGCATTCAACTGTGTGGATCATAACAAATTATGGATAACATTGAGAAGAGTAGGAATTCTAGAACACTTAATTGTGCTCATGAGGAACTGTCCATAGACCAGGAGGCATCGTTCAAACAGAACAAGGGAACACTACATGGTTTAAAATCAGGAAGGGAGTGTGTCAGGGTTATATCCTTTCACCATGCTTAACTCAATCTGTATGCTGAGTAAACAATCCAAGAAGCTGGACTACATGAAGAAGCACGTGACATCAGGATTGGAGGAAGACTCATTAACAACCTGCGACACAACCTTGCTTGCTGAAAGTGAAGATGACATGAAGCACTTAACTGATGAAGATCAAAGACTATAGGCTGCATATGGATTACACCTCAACAGAAAACAAAAACCCTCACAACTGCACCAGTAAGCAGCTTCAGAATAAATGGATAAAAGATGGAAGTTATCAAAGATTTCAAATTACTTGTTTCCACAGTAAACACCAATGGAAACAGCAGTCAAGAAATCAGACAACATATTGCACTAAGCAAATCTCCTGCAAAAGACGTCTTTCAAGTGCTGAAGAGCAATGATGTCTCTTTGAAGGCTAAGGAGTGCCTAACCCAAGCCATGGTATTTTCAGTAGCCTCATATGCATGTGATAGCTGGACAATGAATAAAGACCAAAGAGTTGGTGCTTTTGAGTTTTGGTGTTGGCAAAGAAGGCTGAAAGTACCATGAACTGCCAGAGAACTAACAAATTTGTCCTGGAAGAAGTTGTAGCTGGAATGCTCCTTGGAAGCTAGAATGGCCAGACTTCATCTGACCTACTTTGGTCATGTTGTCAGAAGGGACCATTCCCTGGAGAAGGATATCATGCTTGGTAAGGCAGAGGGTCAGTGAAAAAGGGGAAGGCCCTCAGTGATACGCGTTGACACAGTGGCTACAGTGATGGGCTCAGATTTAGCAAGGATTGTAAGGCTGGTGCAGGACCAGGCAGTATTTTGTTGTGTTGTACATAGGGTCACTATGAGTCAGAGCTGACTGACGGCACATAACAACAGCAACAACTGACTTAATGTTTTCTGATTCAAGCCAGCCAAACTAGAAAAATTTATAATATGCTAAAATAATTCATGTAATCTAATGACCTTTAATATAGAAAATTACCTTTGTATTTATCAGTTCAAAAATTAAGGAATTTCTGACTTTTAACTGCTACATTAAAGGGGGAAAATAAAAAGCTGATTTCTAGAGGGAAATGTGAACATTCATATTCTCAGAGGACAGTATACATTAAACATAAACCCAATAATTTTTTTATTTTATATTTAGATTATTTGTACCATGTCAAATATACTGGTTTTAGTATGTCACTTTTATTATATTCTTAAATTTTGTGTCAGAATTAATGAAACATAACATGTTTGTTCTGTTTATTGAAAAAATACGTAAAGTCCTAAATCAAGCTTTTAAAATTAGACCTTTTAAACAACTCAGAAAAAGAAGGTGAGAAAGGTTGCACAACTTGAAGAATATAATCATTGTCACTGAATTGTATATGTAGGAACTTTTGAGTTGGTGTATGTGTATATTCTTAACAACAACAAAACAAAGTTTAGGAAAAAAAATTAGATCCCTTTATGTAGCTTGTTAAGCAGTTCTTCATGTATCCTTCACCTAACTCTGGAACTACCAAGATTTATTTTTAACTAGTTTATTCTAGATGCACTGAAGTCACTTTAGATTAAGGGTAAAACGTAAGAATCACTTTAAATGGCATTGGTTTTAAGAGTATATAAATGATATACTAGACCATTTTAGTTAGTAATTTATAATCATTAGTAATTAATTTATAGTCATCTAGGCATTTTGACTGAAGAATGGGACCCAGCATTCCTTGATAGGTCATATTTAAATTTATGGAAGAAATTGCTGCAAGTAGAGCAGTGATCTGAAACAACACAATGACAAAATACTACATAATGTCATAGGCCCCTCAATTTTTAGATTTGTTTACAATTTAGGCACAATAGATAATTTCTTCAGATTTTTCAAAGAGAAACTAAAGGCAAATAACTCCTTAGTAAGACTGGAGGGGTGTGGGGGCTTTACCAGACCCAAAAAAGGAATTTAGTACTAATTCTCTTAATTTATCTTCATTACTGTGGACATGGATTGTTGGTTACTGAAATAAATGACTTTTGGCGTATGCACGGTCTTTAACACAGTCACTGAATTAGTCAATGAGTACCTGTTTTGTTTGTTTCTGGGTTTTTGTTTTGTTTTTTTGTTTTGTTGCTATTGTTTTTTAAGACCAAAATTTAGCAACTAGCAAATTTATTAAACTTCCAACTTGATACATTGAATCATTATAGAGTCTCTTGGCTAGGAACAAGGAAAGTCTTAGCTGGCTTTCTTTGCAGCAACTGTCAGTGATGATGTGATGATTATCAGTGACAATCAGTTCTTCTGAGCAATCAAGCATTAAACATCTTCCATCCTTAATTTTAAAAATTGGTCAAGTAGATTTATTTTTTTCGTGTTTTCCTTTAAGAAAAACTGGTTTAATGATACATCGTTTAGATCATTCCTTTTCATAAAAGTTCAATAATTCTACCTAGCAAGTAATTCACTGATTTGCAGTTTTAGGTAATACTTTGCTCTCTGCCTGCTCTGCAGGCATTCTTTGTGTACTAAATCACTTTACAATTTGAACACCATCCACATCACTGTGTAGTTGACTGATTGGCAGTCTAATTCATTAACGTAATTTAGTCTTTTTACTTATTAATCTCTAGTATAATCGTTAATTTTTAGTATTGTTATATTTGTGCAGGATCTTCTTCATACTGTCTTCAAGAATGGAAAAGTGACAAAAAGCTATTCATTTGATGAAGTAAGAAAAAATGCAAACCTGAATTTTGAACTGGAAGCAGCACCTCATTAGGCTTTCTTTTATGGCTGTGCGTGTGTGGGTGTGTACATGTGTATACGTGCATACATGCACGTATACACCTGCGTGTGTGCGTGTAAAACATAGATAATGTTTATTGTACAGATGTGTGGGGTTTCTTTGTGTTTTATGATACATTACAGCCAAATTATTTGTTGGTTTATGGACATACTGCCCTTTTCATTTTTCTCCTTTTTTTTCCAGTGTTTAGGTGATCTCAAATTAGGAAACACGCTTAACCATGTAAAAGATTAATGCTAACGTAAGCTTTTTAGGGCCCTTTGCCAATAGATAGTAATTCAATCTGATATTGATCTTTTCACAAATAACTGAGAAACTTTTATATATAATTGAAGATCACATAAAACAGATTTGCATAAAATTATCATGATTGCTTTATGTTTATATTTAACTTGTATTTTTGTACAAACAAGATTGTGTAAGATATATTTAAAGTTTCAGTGATTTAACACTTTCCAACTTTTCATGATTTTTACGAGCACAGACTTTCAAGAAAATACTTGAAAATAAATTACATTGCCTTTTGTCCATTAATCAGCAAATAAAACATGGCCTTAACAAAGTTGTTTGTGTTATTGTACAATTTGAAAATTATGTCAGGACACACCTTATAGAATTACTAACCTCACTGCCCCTTGTAGAATATGTATTAATCATTCTACATTAAACAAAATAATGGTTCTTACTGGAATGTTTAGGCACTGTACAGTGATTCTATACCTTGATCATTGTATTGTACCAGTGAAATGCCAAATTTGAAAGGCCTGTACTGCAATTTTATATGTCAGATATTGCCTGTGGCTCTAATATGCACCTCAAGATTTTAAGGAGATAATGTTTTTAGAGAGAATATCTGCTTCCACTATAGAATATATACATAAATGTAAAATAGCGACAAAAGTGGAAGTGGCGTATTTTAAAGCAACTACACTTCTGAATTTATTTTTCATATTCTGTAGTTGATTTACTTAAATGAACTACTAGAGTTAGTAGTGAGTGTGCTTATTTTAAATGTTTTGATTCTGTTATATTTTTCATTAAGTTTTTTAAAAATTAAATTGGATATTAAATTGTATGGGTATCATTTATTAATTTTAAACAGAATCCCTCAAATTATACTCGAGGTTTTATATAAAATAATTTACCCTATGAAAAGGATGATGAAAAGCAGAAAGTTGGATAAATGCAAATTTTCAACATCAGGGTACCTAGAGTAATTGCTAGATTCTGAAATAGTCACTGTGTCTGACAAGAGACCAGTTTTTTTGAGACAGTTCTGTTATGTTTAGGTCTGTTCTTTAAGGCAGGGGCTGGCAAACTGACACACAAACCGGATTCAGCCCAGTGCCTGTTTGGTAAATGTGCATTGCCCATAGCTGCTTTCCTTCTACAGCAGCAGAGTTAAATTGTTGCTGCACAGACTGTATAGTCCACAAAACGTAAGATATTTATTACCTGTCCCTTTAAAGAAAAAGTTTGCTGACCTCTGTTCTAAGAAAAGGAGTGTGCCTTGAATTTTAATGAAATGTTGGTTTGCAGGGAAGAGAGGAGGCTAAATTGATAGGGAATTTGTCTCTTTTGTCCTTTCTTTTCTCATTTAGGAATTTGGTATTGGGAAACTGATTTTGAAAAGCTTTAACATGACATTAAATGTGAAATTTAAAAAATTGAAAAGCCATAAGAATCTGTCTTAAACAATCACATGAGAAAATATTCTATAATTATAATAATTTAATTAGAGGTGAATTAACTAATTATCTTTTATAAGAGGCATTAGAATATAGGTTTTTGTAGGTGATTCCAAACACTTGTTTAGGGAGAACAGTAAGCATTATTCATGTTCAGCGAGAGTCTTCATCTTGTAATCCCTGGATAGAAAATAAATTTTAAGCTGATTTTTTTAAATCTATGTAAGTAAAGATTAGTAGTATTAAGAACACATCTTTCTTCACAAAATGTGCTAAGGGATTTATCATAGTGAATTAAAAGAAACTATATTTATTACCAATAATAATTTTTGTAACCACCCATAATTTTGTATTTGTTTAAACATTAGAATTATACTACAAACAATATTTGTGTTCTGTGAATTGGAAGAGTTTCTGGATATCTCAAGAAGTTTCATTTTGAAACTTTTAGTGAATGCTAGAAGTTGTACATTAATACATGTCCATAGATTGGGGTAAGAGGTGGAATGATTAATTCTCTTAGCTTTTAGCCACTTGGAACTGATTTATCCTGAATTTCTGCCACCAAGTGCTTAGCATTTGACCATCCCCATACTGAGCACCAAATGGTTAATGTGGATGTCATATAGAACCCTGCTGTGTCCCCCTTAAATCAGCCTAACTCTCCAAAACAAAAGCCAATGCCATGTATAGGGTTGCTTACGTCATTAGAGTTGTAGTTGACATATTAATTAATCCCCCTCAATTCACAATAACATATATTTTTATTTTAAATAGAAGGTCATAGTTCTGTATTAAGACTCAGATTATTTATTCTTTATACTTAAAATGGTTTTCATGATTATCCCTTATTTAATTTCTTGAAATAAATTAAGAAAAAAATTTTATAATGAAATCCATCTTGGAAAATTAGAGAAAAATGGCAAGGTATTTATTGTTCTGTTTGCCATCATTTAGAACTCACATTTAAACAAATATTTTGTACTTTTACATTCCTTTTTAACCCATTCAGTGGAGAATGTTAGCTTTCTCCCAAGTCGTATGTCAAATCAATTCTAATATGTACTCAAAATCAAAGATAAACATGTAATAAACATGGAAATAAAGTTTAGCCGTATTAGTGAAATATTAAATTTGACTGTGTGCTTCAAGTATTGACATTTTTAGACCTGCCTTTTCTAGGTATTCTTCCAGTTCAAAGGGTTAGAGGATAAGAAAGAGGGAAGTGTCGAGGATGACTCCGTCTCCTGCATTGTGCAACGATATGGTGCCAGCCTTCTTACTGAGGGAAAGGACACTGGAGGGAGCCCAGATTTGGGGGGGAGAGTACTCCCACTAACTTGATAAGGTTTGAAATGCCTTTGAGACATTTAAATGAAGATGGTAAGTATTGGATATACAGATCGGAGAATAGAGGGTCTCAAGGTACGAATTTGATGTGTAGGTGGTCATTGCAAACCACAGGAGAGGATACTTTCCTAGGGAAACTCCAAAGCAGGGGTCAGTAAACTATACTTAGGTCAAATCCAGTCTACCATCAGTTTTTGTCATTAAAGTTTTACTGTAGCACAATTGTGCCCCTTCATTTAACTATTGTCCAGCTGCTTTCATGATACTTTAAGTAGTCACAGTGGAGGCAGTGTGGCCCACAATGGGCAGTGATAATGAACTCTCTAGCTGTTTACAGAAAAAGCATGCTGACTCTGGCCAAACCATAAGGAATTCTAATATTTGAAGGTTAAGTGGCAGAGGATAAACAGGCAAAGGAGACTGATAAATGGTGAACAAAGAGATGAAAGGGAAATTAGGAGGCGTAGAGCCATGAAAGCCAAAAGAAGCATTTCTCAGCTCAGATGTTGAATGCTGCTGAGAGGTCAAGTAGATTTAGCCACAGGGAAATAATTGGTGTTCTTCGTGATACTGCTTTCCAAGAAGTAGAGAGGTAGATGTCAGAAGGAAGCTACCTGACACAACTTTGGATTGTGAACTCTGCAAGGGGGGCAGAAAATGAAAGGAAATAGTGTGTCTTCCTTTTTCCTTCTAGCTACTGTTCTATCTGTGCAAAGAGTCCAGGGAAGAGGGAAAAGTTGAAGAGGGCAAGAAGTGATTAGTGACGGTGCTGGGCTCCTGAAAAGGTGAATGCAGATGGGAGCCAAAGCACTGGTGGAAGGATTAACCTTGAGATAGAAGGAGGTACTTCTGTTATAGAAGGACGAGAAGAGAATGGGTGTAGATGCAGGCCTTGGTTTTCTCTGTGAAGTCAGAGACAAGATCACATGAATTTGAAAGAAAAGTGGGAAGGTTTGAAAATGGAGGTTTTATCACCTATGGAGAATAAATTGACCAGACATTTAGTAGGACTGCAGGACAGTGTTGAGGACTTAGATGGTGAAAATGTGCCTGTTGTGAATTATCTTCTCCCTGGTAGCACCCCTTCTCCTTGGGTGCAGGCACAGTGAAATGGCGATAACTTGGGTTCATCCAGGAGTTGGGATTTTGCCAGTTAAGTTTGGTAGAACAACAAAGAGGCAAGAGAAATATAGTATTAGTTGTTGTTGTTGTTGTTGTTATGTGCTGTCGAGTCGGACCAGACTCAGCAACCCCTCCTTGGGTTTCTGAGGCAGTATCGCTACAGAAGTAGATTGCCCCATCTTCCTTCTGAGGAATGGCTGGTGGGTTTGAACCTCCAGGCTTCTGGTTAGCAGTCAAGTGCCTTAGGCACTATGATACCAGAGCTTCTATAGTATTAGTAAGAGTATTCAAATAATGATCCTTCAGAGTGTAGCTGGATAGGAACAGAAGTGAAGACAGCACAAAGTGGTCTGATGGATGGAAAGACTATAGAGGGCCTAATGGACAGTCACAGGGCAGCTTTGATATATTCGGAGTAGTTGCATAAGCAGACTTCTTGTTGTTACGTACCATTGAGTCAGACCCAACTCATAGTGACCCCTCAAGTTTCCAAGGCAGTATCACTATGGAAGTAGATTGTCCAACCTTCCTTCCGAGGCGTGGCTGGTGAGTTTGAACCACCAGCCTTCTGGTTAGCAGTCAAGTGCCTTAGGCACTATGCTCCAAAGCTCCTTAGAAGGTAAAAATCATAATAAGACCAGGATGCTTATGTTAGAGGAGCAAGTTCATGGCATGGGAAGATATGACTATGAAGTAGCTGAGTGAAATGAAGAGGATCACTGGAGACAAGATACTGTTGAGGAACCTGGATGGATGTTAAAATCATCTTAGAAGATGGAATGCAGAGGAAAATGATGTCAGATGCCAAAGTGTTCAGTGAATGAAGGGAAGCAAACAGGACTGCAGGAGGCAGCAGCAAAGGAAGGGTGTGAGCCTCAGAGGGCTCAAAGATTATTCTAAGGACTTGGAGAGTTAATGGTCAGGAAGTGGCAGTGAAAACTACTTATCCTGCATCCCAGTTCTGAGAATAAGATAGGAAAGGGGAAGCCTGCACAGCCTTTTTGAAGAGTCTAGGCTTATGCAGACATTGTCATATTTCAAAGGTTTGATGTACCTTGTCCAGCACTCAAACATTTGTTGAATTAGTGAATGAATGGAGAGGAGGAACAATATAAATCAGTTTCTTTGGGGTTTTATTGGCTGCAAACACTCTTTTCCCTGGAACAGGCCCAAGGGTCAAAGGCTGTAAATATGTTTTCAATTTTATTTTGCTTTGAATGTTTTCAGTTTTACATTTTGTTTATCTTTTAAGGACCCCTTGTGGTACAGTGCCTAAGGCATTTGACTGCTATCCAGAAGGTTGGTGGTTCAAACCCACCAGCTGTTCTGCGGAAGGAAGATGGTGCAATCTACTTTGTAAGATGGGGCAGTCCGCTTCAATAAAGATTTACCACCTTGGAAA